TCTTGAGTTCTTTGTATATTTTGGAGATCAGTCCTCTGTCAGATGTACGATTGGTGAAGATCTTTTCCCAGTCTGTGGGTTGCCATTTTGTCTTGTCAACTGTGTCCTTTGCCTTACAGACACTTCTCAGTTTGAGGAGGTCCTATTTATTAATTGTCAATCTCAGTGTCTGTGCTACTGGAGTTATATTCAGGAAGTGGTCTCCTGTACCAATTTGTTCAAGAGTACCTCTCACTTTCTTTTCTAAGAAGTTCAGTGTGGCTGGATTTATGTTGAGGTCTTTGATCTGTTTGGACTTGAGTTTGTGCATGGCGATAGACATGGATCTATCTGCAGTCTTCTACACACCATTATCCAGTTGTGCCAGCACCATTTGTTGAAGATTCTTTCCTCCCCCCATTGTATACTTTTAGCTGTTTTGTCAAAAATTAGGTGTTCATAGCTGTGTAGGTTAATGTCAGGATTTTTGATTTGATTCCATTGGTCTACCTGTCTATTTTTGTGCCAATACCAGGCTGTTTTCAGAACTATAGCTCTGTAGTAGAGCTTAAAGTCAGGGATGGTGATGCCTCCTGATGTTCCTTTATTGTACAGGGTTGTTTTGGCTATCTTGGGTCTTTTGTTTTCCCATATAAGGTTGATTACTATTTTTTCAAGGTCAGTGAAAAATTGTGCTGGGATTTTGATGGGGATTGCATTGAATCTATAGATTGCTTTTGGCAAGATTGCCATTTTTACTATGTTTATTCTACCTATCCAAGTGCATGGGAGATCTTTCCATTTTCTGGTATCTTCTTTAATTTCTTTCTTTAAAGACACAAAGTTCTTGCAATATAGGTCTTTCACTTGTTTGGTAAGTGTTACCCCAAGATACTTTATGTTGTTTGTGGATACTGTAAAGGGTGATGTTTCTCTGATTACTTTCTCAGCTCCTTTGTCGTCTGTATATAGTAGAGCTACTGATTTTTTGAGTTTATCTTATATCCTGCTAGTTTGCTGAAGGTGTTTATCAGCTGTAGAAGTTCCCTGGTAGAGTTTTTTGGGTCATTTATGTAAACTATCTTATCATCTGCAAATAGGGAAAGTTTGACTTCTTCCTTTCCAATTGTATTCCTTTGATCTCCTTTGTTGTCTTATTGCTTTAGCTAGAACTTCAAGTACAATATCAAAGAGATATGGTGAGAGAGGACAGCCTTGTCTTGTTGCTAATTTTAGAGGAATTGCCTTAAGCTTCTCTCCATTCAGTTTGATGTTGGCTGTTGGTTTACCGTATATTGTTTTTATTATGTTTAGGTATGTTCCTGTTATCTCTGATCTCTCCAAGACCTTTATCATGAAAGGGTGTTGAATTTTGTAAAAGGCTTTTTCAGCATCTAAGGAGATGATCATGTGGTTTTCCTTTTTCTGTATGTTTATATGGTGGAGTCCATTGATAGATTTTTGTATGTTAAACCATCTCTGCCACCCAGGGATGAAGCCTATTTGGTCATGTTGGATGATCTCTCTGATGTCTTCTTGGATTCAGTTCACCAGTATTTTGTTGAGTATTTTTGCATCAATGTTCATGAGAGATATTGGTCTGTAGTTTTCTTTCTTAGTTGTGTCTTTGTGAGGCTTGGGTACCAAGGTGATTGTGGCCTCATAAAAAGAGTTTGGTAATGAACCTTCTGTTTCTATTGTGTGGAACAATTTGAGGAGTATTGGTATTAGCTCTTCTTTGAATATCTGGTAGAATTCTGCACTGAAGGCACCTGGCCCTGGGCTTCTTTTGGTTTGGAGGCTTTTGATGACTGCTTCTATTTCATTAGGGATTATCGGTCTATTTAAGTTGTTTATCTGTTCTTGATTTACTTTTGGTAAGTGATAGTTATCCAGAAAATTTTCAATTTCCTTTAAATTTTCAAATTTTGTGGAGTACAGGTTTTCAAAGTATGAAAATTGTCTGGATTTCCTCATTGTCCGTTGTATTTTTTTCCTTTCTGATTTTTGTTAATTTGCATGTTATCTCTCTGTTTGGATAAAGGTTTGTCTATCTTGTTGATTTTCTTAAAAAACCAACTCTTTGATGCATTGTTTTTTATTTTATTTTTTATTGTTTTCCTTGTTTCTATTCTACTGATCTCAGCCCTCAAATTGATTATTTCTTGGTGCCTACTCTTCTAGGGTGAGTTTGCTTCTTTTTGTTCTAAGGCTTTCAGTTGTCTTGTTAAATCTCTTATGTGACTATCCTCTGTTTTCTTCATATGGGCACTTAGTGCAATGAACTTCCCTTGTAGCACTGCTTTCAAGGTGTCCCATAAGTTCGGGTATGTTGTGTCCTCATTCTCGTTGAATTTTAAGAAGTCCTTAATTTCTTTATTTCTCTTTGACCCAGGTATAGTGCAATTGTGTATTGTTCACTTTCAATGAGTTTGTAGGGTTTTTGCAATTTGTGTTTTTGTTGAATTCCAACTTTAAAACATGGTGGTCTGATAAGATACAGGGGACTATTCCAATTTTTTTGTATCTGTTGAGATTTGTTATGTCGCCTCATATGTGGTCAATTTTAGTGAAGGTTCCATGTGTAGCAGAGAAGAAGGTATATTCTTTTGTGTTTGAATGTTCTACAGATGTCTGTTAAACCCAATTGAGACATAACTTCTGTTAGTTCTTTTGTTTCTTTGTTAAGTTTCTGTCTGGTGGTCCTGTCTAGCAGTGAGAGTCGGGTGTTGAAGCCTCCCACTATGAGTGTGTGAGGTTTTATGTGAGCTTTGAGTTTTAGTAGCATTTTTTTTTTTATGAATATGGGTGCCTTTTTATTTGGGGCATAGATGTTCAGAATTGAGACTTTATACTGATGGGTTTCTCCTGTGATGAATACAAAATGACCATCTTCATCTCTTTTGATTGATTTTGGTTTGAAGTCTAACTTGCTAGATATTAGGATAGCCACACCTGCTTGCTTCTTGGGTGCATTTAATTAGAAGATCTTTTCCCAGCCCTTTACCCTGAGGTAATGTCTGCCTTTGAATGTTAGATGTGTTTCTTGTATGCAGCAGAAGGATGGATTCTGTCTTCGTATCTATGTATCCATTCTGTTAGTCTGTGTCTTTTTATAGGCAAGTTAAGACCATTGATGTTGAGGAAAATTAAGGACCATTGATTGTTAATGCTTGTTTGCTTTAGATTTGTTGTTGGCAGTGGTATTGTGAATATATTTGCCCTGTTTTACCCTTGGGTTCTGGTATAGTGGGATTATCTATTGCCTATGTCTTTGTGACATAGTTAACTTCCTTGAGTTGGAGTTTTCCTTCCAGAACTTTCTGTAGGGCTGGATTTGTCATTGAATATCTTGTTTTCTCCATCTATAGTGATTGAGAGTTTTGCTGGGTATAGTAGCCTGGGCTGGCATCCGTGGACTCTTGGTACTTGCAGTACATCTATCTAGGACCTTCTGGTCTTGAGAGTTTTCATGGAGAAGTCAGGTGTAATTTTGATATGTCTGCCTTTATATGTTACCTGTCCTTTTTCCTTTGCTGCTCTTAATATTCTTTCTTTATCCTGTATGTTAGGTGTTTTGATTATTATGTGTTGAGGGGTCTTTTTTCTTTGGTCCATTCTATTTGGTGTACTGTATGCTTCTTGTACTTTCATTTTGCATGTCCTTCTTCAGATTGGGAAAGTGTTCCTCGATGATTTTGTTGAATATGTTTTCTGCACCTTTGAGCTGGGCTTTTTCGCCTATTATTCTTAGGTTTGGCCTTTTCATGGTATCCCACATTTCCTGGATGTTTTGTGTTAAGGATTTGTTGGATTTAAGATTTTCTTTGGTTGATGAATTTATTTCCTCTAGTTTATCTTCAGTGCCTAAGATTCTCTCTTCCATCTCTTGAATTCTGTTGGTTATGCTTGTGTCTGTAGTTCCCGGTCATTGCCTAGTTTTTCTATTTCCAGCATTCCTTCAGTTTGTGTTTTCTTTATTGTCTCTATTTCAGTTTTCAAGTCTTGAACTGTTTCCTTCAACTGTTTAATTGTCTTTTTTCTTGGCTTTCCGTATTTTCTTTAAGAGATTTGTTCATTTCTTCCATTTTTCTCCTTTTTTTCTTCCATTTCTTTCTTTTTTTTTTTTTTAGGAGTAAATAATAATTTGTTTTAAAGAAATTTCCCCCTTAAATCTATCAACATAAATAATCTCATTATATGCATTCTTGGTGGAGTCATCAATTCTAAAAATTACTGTGAAAAAAAAAGTGAAATTCTGATGCAACTTAAGATTCTGGGTCCTATCTGAGCAGTGGTAAACACACCCTTAAAGCCAGCACTTGAGGCAAAGGCAGGCCAACCTCTGTGAGTTTAAGGCTAGCCTGATCTACAGAGCCAAGTTCCAGAACAGCCAGGGCTACAAAGAAAAACCCTGTCTCAACAAGAACAACAAAGACTCTGTCTTGAAGAAATCCAGTTTACAAGCAGGAATGTTGATTGTATAAATGATGGGACAGTTATTTGGAACTAATCCTCTTTCATTTCTCCACTTAAAAACAATAACACTTGAGCCAGGAGTGGTGGCACATGCCTTTAATACCAACACTCTAGAAGCAGAGGTGGAGGCCAGCCTGGTCTATAGATGGAGTTCCAGGACAGCCAGGACTATACAGAGAAGAAACCCTGTCTCAAAAAAACAAAAGCAAAAACAAGCAAACCATAACAAAAGCAACAACAAAAGACCACTTAAGGCATTGAAATGAAAACTTACCCAGATGTCAAAACAATTGGTCTGGTTAGCTAATGGTAAAACTAGATTCCTTTTGTTTTTTTTTCTCTGATTTTAGGCAGTGTCTTGCTGTGTAGTAGAGTCTAGTCTTGAGGCTCTGGGCTCAAGTGATCCTCCCAGCTCAACCACTGAAATATCTGTGTGACTATCACATGTGCCACCACACCTGGCCAATTATTTTTAGGCAGGAGAAATGACAAATAAAATGTATTATATGCTTAAGGCATATGAGTATTAGACTATGTATAGTAAAATTTTTAATGCCTCTTCTGTCCCTAACTACTGATACAAATCACTGGTCAATGAGCTCTAATTCAGTTCTAAGACATGTTACTGTGAGAACCAAGTCCTCCAGGGAAACAGCCCCTCAGGGAGTCAGTGCATTTTTCACAGACTCTGGAACTCGGCTAGCATAGTACTGGTAATTCCTCAGTGCAGCCAGGACTCCTGCAGAGTTCATGTGCTTCACCTCCTTGTTGTACTGGAGGGCATTCCCGTGGATGTTTGTCAACTTCCCTCCCACAGCATGTAAGATAACTTCCTGGGCACAAGTATCCCACTTCTTATAGCCAGGACTCGCAAATACATAAGCAGTGGCTTTGCCTTCAATCAGCTGGATGATCTTGTCTCCTGCTCCCCCGACTCGAAGCACATTGTCGGGATTCATGGCTGACACGCAGTCTGTGACTAGCTTGTTGCCATGGGACCTGGTGGTTGTGATGATGTGCTTCCTGGCAGGCACTTCTTTCAACTGAAACCCAAAAGCACTCAAACCCAGAACTCCCCAGATGGTCCTGCCAAGCACAGCATCTGGGCCAGCCTTCACTTCCTTCCTCTGCTCCCTTAACTTCTCCTTTTCATTGTTCTGGTAGTTGTAATATGGCTGGTCGATGATGCCTGCAATGGCCTTCCCTTCATAAGCAATCCCAATAAGAACAGTAACATTGTCAAGAAGACCTTCAGTGTATTCCTTGGTGCCATCTAAGGGGTCAACCCAAACCACAAGGTCTTTCTCTTTGATAGCGCTATACTGCAATGGACACGGCTGCTTCAGGATTTCCTCCCATTGCCCGTCTTCAATCAGCTCTTGATCCACTTCCCCAGGAGGCAGGTCCTCCTCCCCTATTATTGTCAGTTTAGGGAACTTCCGTGCCAGGGAAGAGCATATGCTCATCTGCACCAAGCGGTCTGCTTTGGTCTGCAGGTCTGTGGCTGAGGTCTTCTGCACGATGCCCAGATCTCCTTCAGCAATGACACACCTGACTATGGTTCCTGCCTTCTGGGCAATAGAATACTCTGAGGCTACCAGTCGCATCAACACACTCACTCAGCCGCCCCATGTCCCAACTGCTGTTCCTCCGGGTTGCTTGCCGCCCGCGTTGCTGTCTCCTCCAAGTCCACTGGTCCAATGTCTTTTCTTCCATTTCTTTAAGGGATTTTCTCACATCGTCTTTGAAGGCCTCTATCATTTTATGAAGATATTTTTTAAGTCCTTCTCTTCTGCTTCATCTACTTAGGGATGTTCAGGTCTAGTTGGTGTAGAGTCCCTAGATTCTGGTGGTATCATGCTTGTCTTTCTATTGTTAGATGTTTTCTTGTATTGCCTTCTTCCCATCGCTTCTTCCAGTAGGTGAGGTGGGGTCTCTCTCTCTCCCTCCCCCCCCTCATGCTTCCCGGTGGGCTTAGGTGGGTCCGAAGTTCGATGTCTGTAGCTCTGTGTGGTTCAAGCTCTGTGTGGTCTCTCCTCAGGCAGGGGCCTGGCAATGGGGGGGGGGGTCGAAGATCAGGCTCCAGCAGAGGCCAAGCAATTGGTGTCAAAGATCCAGCAGGCAGGGACTCAGGATGGTCTCGCTGGGATAGGAGGATCTCTGGGAGGGGCCCAGAACTCTAGCAGAGGACCAGCGGTGTGGGTCAGAGATCAGACTGGTGGGATTCAGGGTGGTCCCCTGGGGATAGGCAGGTCTAGTGTGCTCAGAGAAGCTCCAGGAAGTTCCCCGAAGGTGGCACAGTTGTTGGATCTGCCCTCTGTTCTAGTGCTCAACCAGAGCTGTGGGACAGTGGGCAGGGTATGACACAGCGTGGGGGGGAGGGCAGGCAATTTGGGGGGTACAATCCAGGGAGTTCCCAGGGAAGGGTGTGTGTAGGGGGATTCAACCCAAATTGGTCCCAGATTCACCTCCAGCAGAGGCCCTGCGATGTGGATCAAAGATCTGGCAGGCAGGGACTCAGGATTGTCCTCTAGCAGAGGCCCAGCGATGGGGTTCCCTCTGTGGGTTTCTGTAGCCTGGTCTTGTCCTCCCTCTCTGCATCTGGATTCCAGTTTGGCTCAGTGTTTAGCTGTGGGTGTCTTCTTTTGTTTCCATCAGCTACTAAATGAGGGCTCTGTGATGGTGGATAAGTTCGTCATCAATCTTATTATCAGGGAAGGGCATTTATGGTAGCCTTTCCAGTCTACCACAGAACCTGACAATCCCATTCTTAGGCATATACCCAAATGATCCACATCCATGCAACAAAGACATTTGTTCAACTATGTTCATAGCAGCATTATTTGTAGTAGCAATAACCTGGAAGCAACCTAGATACCCCTCAACTGAAGAATGGATAAAGAAGATGTGGCACATCTACACAATGGAATACTACTCTATGAAAAAAAAAAAAAAAAAAAAAACAAAAACAAAAAACAATGGAATCTTGAAATTTGCGGGCAAATGGATGGAACTTCAAGAAAACATGCTAAATGAGGTAACCCAGTCACAAAAGGAGGAACATGGTATGTACTCACTCATATATGGATTTTAGACATAGAGCAAAGGGTCACCAGCCTATATATAATTCATACCAGCAGTGAAACTAGGATACAAGGGGGATTCTAAGAGATTCATACAAGGTCCCTCACAGAAGGGGAAAGGAACAAGATCACCTGAGCATATTGGGAGTGGGGGTGCAGTGAGTGGAGAGGATGCTCAGAGAAAGAGAAGGGGAGGAGAGGAAAGCACGTGGGCACGTGGGACTAGGAAGATTGAGTCAGGGGAGGAAGAGATGTGTGTGACAGAGAGAGAGAGAGACAGAGAGAGAGAGAGAGCATAAAAGAGGGAGCCATTATAGGTTTGAAGAGAAATCTGACTCTAGTGAAATGTCAAGAGACCTACAAGACTGACCCCAACTAACAATTCAGGCAATTTCCTTAATTAGTGATTACTAATTCTTATTAGTAGTTAATTAGGCCCATAGGACATTTTCTTAATTAGTGATTGACTTGGGAGTCCCTGCCTCACTGTATTGTGCTACCCCTGGGCAGGTGGTCCTGGAGTGTATAAGAAAGCAGGCTAAACAAGGCATGGGGAGCAAGCCAGAGGGCAGCACTTCTCGGCTTCTGCTTCAGTTCTTGCCTACAGGTTTCTACCCAGAGTTCCTGCCCTGACTACCCTCAGTGATGAAGTGTGACTTGAGAATTGAAAGCTGAAATAAACCCTTTTCCCCTCTAAGTTGCTTCTGGTTGTGATGTTTTAGCACAGCAACAGGAACCCTAACTATAACATCAAGGAATTTACACTTTCTCTACAAATGGGACCCCAAGGGCCAACTTGAGATAAGCAAATCTGTAAACCTATGGGTGTGGTTTGAATGAGAAATGTTCTCCAAAGGTTCATGAATGTGAGCCTTATGATGTTGTAATGTTGGGCTTGATGGAAGGTGTTTCTGAAGTGGTTTTTGCCTATTTTTTTTTTTTCTATCCACCATTAATAGCACAGACTCCTGTGAAGAAAGCAGTAATCATCATCTTCATTGAGTGACAACAGTTTTAGTAGAGTGGCAGCTTCAAAGTTGCATAGACAGTAGAACCAGGATGTCAGTGCCCCATGTTGAGGGATATCTGTCGGGTCCTGCTGACTTGTCCAGCCGGTACCCGAGAGGCGGAGTGTGGATTGAGAAAAGAAACAGGCTGGAGACAGAAGATAAAGTCTTCACTGGGAGGGCATCTCAGTGAATACTAGAATCCACCTTAAGTTTACTGCTCAAAGTGGGGATGGGAGGGGGGTAGGCAAAAGACTTTTTTACCATGGAAGGAACAAACAGACTTAATTACTTCCTTAATTGTCCAAACATTTAGTAATCACACCTTACATCAAACCTCTTGCTATCTGACCCCGAGGATTAAGACGTCTAGTAGCTCAACCTTGAAAGAGCAAGGATAGTTTTGAACTCTCTGGCCCTAAGTCAGTATGGAAGGGAGCTATTTCTGTGGGGGCCTGGCACTGGAGAGCAGTCAGCATGACAGCTGCAGAGCCTTGGGAGCAGCAGAGAAGCGGGCTGTGGCTGTGGTGGCAGAGCCAGCACGAGGAAGTAGTGAAATAGGTAGCAGAGACAGTGGAGGAAGCGACTGTGACACTGGCAGTGGCAGGGACTTAAAGGGGCAAAGGTTTTGGCACTCTAAGCTCAAGAGCTATGGCACTAACCAATGGCAGTGCCTGGAGAATTCCACACCCACTGGACCAGAGCTACAACATTCATCACTCTAGTGCTAAGGGTTCTAACACGCAAGGCCCAGGCATGCACTGTACCAGCAGAATTCCACCCGCGGCTCAGCATGCACTGTACCAGCAGAATTCCACCCGCGGCTCAAACTGTTTCCAAGAACTGCTGACATCACAAGTTGAGGGTGAAAAGCTGCCCTATGAGTTCTATTCAGGCAGAACAAATAAACCCAGCCCAGTGGCGAGAGGGGGCTCATTGAGAGTCCTCTCAGCTCACATGCAAGTTTTAGAGAAGTACAAATACTGCACCCACATTCCTCACAAGGGTATGTTAAAGGAATGTTGACTGTGTACTCGGGATGTTTACCCTCTAAGGTAATTTTACAGGTGCCTCTGGGCAAGTGGCAATTGTCATATCTCAAATAATCCCTTCTTCATGACTGAGTTTCAGAGGTGTGTAGCCTGTGTATGTATGGGCACATTTGAGAGGCATGCTTGGCAGCATAGCCGTCGTGGGCTACAGCAAGCTCTTCTCACTGAATCATTTTCAGTAGTCTGCTGGCTACAGATATATTTAGTCTAGGGGACTCTAGTTTGTACACATGGTGGAGTGACAAAATCACAAGTTGTAGTAGCATATTCTATTAATGCCCCACAGTGGGAGAAAACAAGCAAACCAAGTTCTGTGTGGAAAGAGACAGTGACATCAAAACATTTGTCAACATCTGTCAGCACTCTGATTTGGCTCTCACGCAATCATGTAAGACCAATCTTGCCCATCATCACAGAGAGATAGAAATACCCGCCAATCATTTCTACTCTCCTGTTGTTCAGTCAATGATCCTGATGCTCAGGGTCTCATGTTGGACTTTTTCTATTGTGTCTGTTTCACATGATTATCTCCTGTCCATGTGGCAGGGACCCTAGCTTGTCATTACTCCATGCCTTTGGATTCCCATAATAGTTTGGTTCCTAACACTAAAGCCCTTCTCCAGGTAGCTGCTGTTACAGCACTCTGAAAGTTTTTTATAAAAGTGCCATGCATTTCTTATCTAAAGCCGGTTTGCAAGGCAGGAACCAGTAAATTCCTGGAAAATTAAAGTCATTGTGTCAATAAATTGCTTTCTCTTTTGATGATATTAGGCAAAAATTGAAGTGACTTTGGAGCAAAAATGCTTCTAAAATTTATAATACTGTGTGATGTTGCAACTCTTATTCTCAATTTTTAAAATTATCCGAAAATCTTTAATCAGCCTGCATCCTAGAGTTTTTTTTCTTTTTTCTTTTTTAGTTTCTCTAATACATGGCCACAACAGATTCAACTAAAAATGGAAACTTATTTTTTTTCTAAGTACTGTAAATTTGATGCTGATTTCCTGGGCCAAATTTTGTGCCTGTTATGTGAGCCTCATAGAAAGTTAAGCAAACTCTTACACTGAAGCCAGATACTTTTAAATTTCAGGTGGAGAACTGGTATCAAAGCACGAGTCCATGTTTACAGTACCAGGTATGTATTTCTTCCTGTGGAACAGGCCTTAATTCCAACAAGGAAGTGTTCAGTTGCATTAGTAATATTAGTGCCACCACTGCACCCATGGATATATCTTGCCACACCAGTCATTACTGCAGTTCACAGGGGTCACAGCTGGGTGAGACCATTGGTGACTTTCCCCTTCCCCCAGCAGCTTGCATTACACCTTCCAGGACAATAAAAACTAGACAGCTGCGAGGATCTTCCTGGTCAGTGCCTATTTGATTTCTTCTTGCGCTATGATTAATGTGTGCGGTGTCTCCAGAAATAGGATATTTCCAGCAAATTCTGGTGGGCAATGAAGAGC